CGATTTGCTCGAGCGGGCCCAGTAACGTCTCCATTGGAGACTTTGTTGTTACTGTGTCTGGCATATCGAATACTCTCGGTAGCTTGCCGGGCTCTCCGAGAGGGGCGGAGGAATCGAACTCGGGTCGGCCATGTTGGCTGTGTGCAAGGCGAACGCCCTACCCGCTGTGCTATCGCTCCTTTTTCCTGTTTTCATTTTATTATTTTTTTGGGGGGAGTGCACACCTAGCTTTAGGGATCACCTTTGGCAGGGCTTAGGGACCCCATGGGCTGGAGTAATAGCACAGCAGTAGGGCGTTTGCCTTACAAGCGGCCAACATGGCCGACCCGAGTTCGACTCCTCCGCCCCTCTCGGAGAGCCCGGCAAGCTACTGAGAGTATCTCGCCCTCATGGCAGAGCCTGGCAAGCTACCCGTGGTGTACTCGATATGCCAAACACAGTAACAACAAGTCTCACAATGGAGACGTTACTGGGCCCGCTCGAGCAAATTGATGAACAACGGGAGGACAGTGACCGTGACTCCAAGGGACCCCATGTGGTGCCAGCAATTAAGCCTGGTCGGCCATGTGCAGGCCAAGTGCCTCACCACTGCACTATCTCTCCGGCCCCGCTGTTTTCATTGACAGGGCCACTCCCAGCACTGCTCAGGATTTACTCCTGGCTGCGTGCGTAGGAATCATTCCTGGCTCGGAGAATCCTATGAGGTGTGGGGTTTGAGCTAGAATTGGCTGCGTACAAGGCAAGTGCCTTTCCCGCTACGCCATTCTCTCCGGCCCTTGAGTTTTTCCTGTTATGAAATCCCTGCTAAGCCTCCAGAAGGAATGAGTCATCCAGCACAAGAGATTTAGGACTGCCTTGGTTTCCCTCTTCTCCAAGGAAATATTCTTAAGAAAATGCTGTCTGATGGCGGCGGCAGCCTGCCCCCTTCTCTCTCTGCCTCACTCCTCCATCCAGATGTACATACGCCGGCATACGCCCACTCTCTGGGCTCCCAAGGGTGCTGAAATGCAGGCTGAGGCCATGGCTGTTGCATGCAGAGCATGGTTAGGGACGTGGGTCCCCGACCCCTGCATGCATGTCCAAGCACCCCTCTGGGGCTTCCCTTTGGCTCTGTCATGGCAACCTTAGGGATTTAATTCCCACCCTGCATGCCTCGCTGTCCCCTTCCCTAGACCCTCCTTCCCTTCCCATCATAGCCCTGGCTCCCTCCAGGGGCCTAACTTCACAGGTGAGTCTCCCTGCTCCAGCCAAGTCATGTCATGGATAGGGACAGACTGTGTGTGAGAGAGAACTGTGGAAAGGTTCGGAGCCAGGGTGCTGTCTGCCCACTGCTCGGGGACCTTCCCTTTAGCGTGTACTGGAAGGTGTGCCCAGCAGACAGAGGTGCCGGCCATCCCTGGGTCTGTGGCCACGTGCCTCAGTTTCTGAATCGGACCCCTGAGAGGAGACAGGCAGCACGTTCTCACCCATGGTAGCTAGAAGCAGCCCGTCCTGCCTTGGGATGAGTGAGGAGCTGTCCACGGCCTTGGTGCTGATCTGCCTGGAGCTCGTCCGGGCGGGAGCCAGCAAGCTCAGCCCCGGGGAAACCTCCAGGCAGTGAAGGTGCCAGAACAGGAACAGGAAAGGTCTTGGACTCGGGAGAATCACTCTTCCTGGTTGTTTCTGTCCAGGGCATCCAAGTTCCAGTGCTCTCACCGGCTCCAAGACAGGCAATGAACAGATGCGGATGTCCTTCCATTTCTGTGCAAGACTAGAGCAGCCATTGCTCGGGGGGCCCATCCTGGAGCTGGTTTGATGCCGGTTGCAAAAGAAGAAGCTGCCACAGCCACAGACATTTTGATCGATTTTTGAGGCCAAGTGCAAACTTCACAGCTGGCTGGGCACACGGTGGGTTGGGTGCAGAGGAATGGCCGTGGAGTGGCGCCAGGCCACCGCTTTCTCTTTGGCCTGCTGTGGGGTCCACTGCGGGTGTTGGGGAGCTCTGTGCCAGTGAGGGTGGTCTCAGTGCCCTCAGCTCAGAGAGAGCACAAAGGCGGTGCCATTGGCATGTCCAAAGGCAGAGAACGTCAGCCTGGAGTTCTTGTCTGTGCCCTCCACATGCCTCCAAGAACTACCAGGCTTATGAGTCTTAGGGACTGGCAGGAATTTGAGAGCAGAAACCCACCAGGGATGCTAAGGAAGAAGGCAGACGGAGTGCACTCCAGGTGGATCGGTCACATGGGAGGGTCTGGCTGCACGCAGGTTGCTTCTGCTCCCTGCTTCTCTGCAGAGCACCTCACTTCCTCCACCCACCCCCGCCCCCAGAAACTCCAAGGTACCTCCTCTGCACAGGAATTAAGTGGCTTTAGACATCCCCAGGGACAACTCTCTGGCTGAAGGCCTCTGGCCTGGGACCTCTCTTGAGGGTGGTGGGTGTCATTCTGGTTTCTTTCCATCTTTTTAGAAAGACCCACAGGAAGAACATTTCAGCCCACAGCCTCTCGTGAGGATCAGTATGCAGGTGTGGTTCCACTCACATCCATGTGGGTTTCAGTTCATTCCACCACTCCGGTGGCTTCCTCTGTCCCTCCCCATCTCTGCACCCCATCCGGAGTGACCCCGAGCCGACCAGGGGCCTCTCCTGGCCAAGAGGGAGACCTGAGAGTGGCCAGGGGTGCAGTGGGGCTTCCCAGTGGCCCTGACATGTGCCCACTCCACGGAGACCCCAAGGAACCCCCGGAAGGGAAGAGGCTTCCCCTAGTTGGCAGCCTCCTGGGGCCCCCAGGAGCACAGAAGAACAAGTGTCAACAGTGGGCACCTCCATCCGCTGCACACGCAGACACACAACAGCCCCAGGTGGCCCCCGCAATTACCTCCTACCTCGGCCTCCCTTCCCCAGTGGGCAGGCCCTGAGCCCCTTTGTAGGGGACAGGGGGGTCCAGGTCCCTCAGGATCATCGTCCAACACCCCTTCTCTGTTCAAGGAGCCCCGATTTGCAGCCTTTGCTGATTTCTGTGGTGCAAACACCACAGAGTTGGTTGATACCAGCTGCCACAGGCTGTGACCGAGAAGGAGCAGAGGGTGGGTAGTGAGTGAGTCTGAGCCAGCCCCACCCTTGGGTGCTTTTGTCACTACACAGGCAGTGCAGACCCAGGGTGCTGCCAGAGTAACCCAGAATCTCCAAGAGCCTTCGAAGTGTGAGGGGTGGCATGTGAGCACGGGGGGTGGGTACGCCCAGCCTGCCCGGGGCCATTTCCCCAGTGATGGGGACTTGGGGAGGGATGGGATCCTACAAGATGACCTCTGCCAGGGGCAGACCTGAGGGGTCCTGGGGGACAGGGACCTTGACTGAGCCCCCATGGGTGGCACCAAGAGTCCGGGTGGGCTTGTCTGCTCAGCACAGGGGCCAAGGGGGGGCTGCTTTGGCACCAGAGGGCGGCAGCCGCTGTAGAGGGGGCCCGTTAGCTCCCATGGGGTCTTGGTTATAGTTAGAAGGGCCCTGGTTCCTGTGTGGGTTCCAGGGGAAGCTGAGATCCCTGGGGTCCAGAGCCCTGGGGTCTCCAGCGGGCCAGGCCAGCTCCTGTGCCCCCTTTTCGGAAGAGGCTGGCACAGTCACACTCGACCTCTGTAGGCAGGCTGGAGGAGACTGCCTCGGGCTGCAGGGGAGGGAGGGGCTGCCGTGGGGGTGTCCCAGGAAGGTCACAGCCCAGTGGGGACAGACTGGGGAGACAGGGTCTGGGCTCATGCAGGATGATGAAATGGGGGCTCCTCCCCTCCCTCCTGGGGAAACAGAGTCTAGTAGTTGAGCTCAGGCCAGCGAGGAGGATTACTACCTGGAGGAAGCTCAGCCTGGGGGGGGATCCCCAGCTCCATGTCACAGTCTGGCCAGCCTGGTGCTGGGACTAGGACCGCTGGCACTGAGGCGGGAAGGTGACCAGCCTCCCTCCCTCCCTTCCTCAGACTTTCTTAACTCAGCCTGGTTTAGAGAGAGGCTCAGAGGGAGGGAGGATGGGGGCGGGGTGGGGGTGGGAAGCCTTAAGGAGCCAATCACCCTGCATTAGAGCCTTCAGGGCTGAGGAGAGGGAGGGGGAGAGAGAGAGAGAAAGAAGGAGGGAGGGAGGGAGGGAGGGAGGGAGGGAGGGAGGGAGGGAAAGAGAAAGAGAGAGGGAGAGATGGGAGAGGGAGAGGGAGAGAGAGGGAGGAGAGAGAAAGAGAGAGAGGGAAAGAGAGAAAGAGAGAGGGAGAGAGAGAAAGAGAAAGGGGGAGGAAGGGAGAGAAAGAGGGAGAGAAAAGAGAGAGAAAGAAAGAGGGAGGGAGAGACAGGAGAGAAAGAGGGAGAGAGAGAGGGGGAAAGAGAAAGAGAGAGAGGGAGGGAGAAAGGGAGAGAGGGAGAGAAGGAGAGAAGGAGAAAAAGAGAGGGAGAGAGAGGGAGAGGTAGGGAGAGAGAGGGATAGAGGGAGAGGGAGGGAGAGAGAGGGATAGAGGGGGAGGGAGGGAGAGAGAGGGAAAGAGAGGGGAGGGAGAGAGAGAGGGAGGGAGAGAGAGGGAGAAAAGGAGAGAGGGGGAGAGAGAGGAGGAGAAAGAGGGAGAGAGGGAGAAAAGGAGAGAGGGAGAGAGCGCGCGCAGGGTTTTCTGCGAGCGGGGAGGAGGAGCAGAAGAAGAGAGGGGAGGAGAGACTGGGGGTGGGAGAGACAGAAGGAGAGCGCAGTGGGGGGAGCGCAGGCCGGAGCGAGGAGCGGAGCGCGCAGAGAAGTGCGGGCGAGGAGCGGCGGGCGGGCGGGCGCGGGGCCGGGCGGGCGCGCGGGCGGGCGCGCGGGAGGAGGAGGATGGGGTGAGCGCGGGCAGGCGCGGGCAGGGCCGGGCAGCGGCGGCCGGCGGGGCGGGCGGCGGCTCCTGGCAGCCCGGGGGGCGAGCCAGCCGGGACCCCGCGGCGGGAGGCGGCCGGCGGCGGCGGCGGCTCCCTCCGGGGAGGGTCGGGGGGCGCGTCGGGGGCCCATGGGGGCGGGGCGCGCGGGGGCCGGGCCCTGAGCGCCGCGCGCGCACCATGAACTCGTGGGACGCGGGGCTGGCGGCGCTGCTGGCGGGCACCATGGGCGTCTCGCTGCTGGCCAACGCGCTGGTGCTGCTCTGCCTGCTGCACAGCGCCGACATCCGCCGCCAGGCGCCCGCGCTCTTCACCCTGAACCTCACGTGCGGCAACCTGCTGAGCACGGTGGTCAACATGCCCCTGACGCTGGCCGGCGTGGTGGCGCAGCGCCAGCCCGCCGGCGACCGCCTGTGCCGCCTGGCCGCCTTCCTCGACACCTTCCTGGCCACCAACTCCATGCTCAGCATGGCCGCGCTCAGCCTGGACCGCTGGGTGGCCGTGGTCTTCCCGCTCAGCTACCGCGCCAAGATGCGCCCCCGCGACGCGGCGCTCGTGGTGGCCTACACGTGGCTGCACGCGCTGGCCTTCCCCGCCGCCGCGCTCGCCCTGTCCTGGCTGGGCTTCCACCAGCTCTACGCCTCCTGCACGCTCTGCAGCCGCCGCGCCGACGAGCGCCTGCGCTTCGCCGTCTTCACGGGCGCCTTCCACGCGCTCAGCTTCCTGCTGTCCTTCGTGGTGCTCTGCTGCACCTACCTCAAGGTGCTCCAGGTGGCCCGCTTCCACTGCAAGCGCATCGACGTCATCACCATGCAGACGCTGGTGCTGCTGGTGGACATCCACCCCAGGTGAGGGCGGGGGGCGGGGGGCTGGGAGGGACGCGGTCGGTCTCCAGGAGGGTCGCACCCGTGTCCCGACGGCAGGTGGGCGCGTTTGGGGTGCCCCCCACTGCAGAGGCCAGGGCCACAGATCCGGGAGCTGCTTCTCCCTCCTCTGCGTGTGTGGGGGGGGGGGGGAGGAGGTGTGTGGGGCCTGCCAAAGGGGTCCCCCCGGCGTCCCCCTCTGTCTGCCCACCCGAAGCTGCTGTCCTTCCGGCTCTTCCCTGTCTCTGCCTCTTGATCCAAAGAGACTCCCCTGGGAACAGCTTCCTGGTTGAGGATTTGGGAGGGAGGGGTCTTCATGTCCCACCTGCTGAGCTCTGACCCCCTCTGTGGAGCCCTGAGACCCCGCTGGGGAAATTTTCACCCCATGGAGTGCTGGGATAGAGGCTGCCCACCCCCCTCTGTCCCCGCTGCTGCTGTTTCTCAGGTCATGGCTGGGGGAGGGTATCCCGGTGTAAACTAAACCCTCCCCCCCCCCCGCACTTGAAGTAATAGTGCCTTCGTGGCTGGGGAGTGGGGGGCATCTGGGTGTCCAGTGCCTCTCGGGAGACTGGGGAGAGACGGGGGAGTCTTAGCCGGGGTGTCCTGAGCCGGGAACAGGCTCACGGGGCTGTCTCCGGCCTTGGCTACTGCAGCTCCCCTGGACCAGAGGAAAGGTCCCCATCTCAGTTGGTGAACCCTCCGCTCCCCTCGGGGGGGGGGGGGACCTGGGTCCCTGCAGCCGATGTCCACAGCTACAGGACCCTTCTCCAGCCCACCAGGGTGGGTCTCCCCGGGGCCAGGGTCTCACCGTAGCTCGCCAACCCCCCTGGCCCACGGCTGGCCTGGTGGCCAAGACTGATGGACATGAGAACATTCCTGTCCTGTGGGATGCAGCCTCCAAGCAGCCCGACACCCCCCTACACACAGGCTTCTTGGCCCCCCACAGATCAGAAAGCAGAGGAGCCAGGCGAGCTGCCTCTAAGCCCCCAAGCCCCAGGGTCTCCCTGATCTGCGGCTGAGGTCTGGGGGCACAGAAGGGGACAGTCCTGAGTCCACGGAAGCCCCTGGGCTTCTGGCTGGGCAGTGGGAGGCAGGCGGGACCTTTGCTCCCTGGGCGTTGTGCTGACAGCTGCCATGCCAACAGCTCACGGACTCGATTCAGAGGAGCCTGTTTGGGGTTCCCAGGGGATCCGGGGTCTAGTCGCTAAACTCCAGGGGCTGCTGGATCTCCCCAAAGCATCGCCCATGCATCGAGCAGTAGGCTGGACTCCTGCCCTCGGCCACAGTCCAAGACCCCGAGACTCTCCACTCTAAATGAAACCTGGAGGGCTGAGACTCGCCCTCAGGTGATCCCCTTCCCTGTGGAACCCAGTTTCCAGGTCCGTGGAGCAGCTTAGAATCCTCAGTTGTCACTCTCCACCTGGGTGTCCAGCCCCCCGGTTTGTCGTGCTCAGGGTCACCAATCCCCACTCCAGGACAGAGATGGTCTGATTCTGTTCCTAGGGCACCGGATCTGGGGTTCTCCTGGGACCTGCCTCGGGGCACCCTGCCATTCGCCTCTGGGGCTTGCGTCCAAGTAGGGTGCCCGAGGCGGCCCCCAGGGCTCCTGCCCAGGTCTGCCACCGAGCTTGATGGGCTGGAGAGCAGGGCTGGGCAGGGAGCAGGAACACCCACGTGGTGATGAGACAGAGGGTCTCTCCCAACTGGCAGATAAAGTAGGTCGCCCCCTCCTGCCCACGGCTGCCCGCCTCAGGAGCGTGCCAGGCTCACGTGCGGATTCTCGGGCTCCTGGGACTTCTGTGCCCCCAACATACCTCTCTGCGGCTACACTCAGACGCCCCCTCGGGCTTTGAGCCCAACACAGGGAGATCGGACCCCCAGGAGAACGGGCCTGGGAACAGGGTTGCAGGATCAGAAATTACCCGGGTCACCAAGCTTGGGCTGTAGCCCCCCTAACTGGGGGGGTTGTGAATACGCCCCATCCTTCATCTGTGGGTGCCAGGGTCTCTCCAGGTCCAGAGCCTGGGCCAGGGACCTGTTTGCCCAGCCCTGAGCAAAGTGGGGAATGCCCGCACCAGAGTCCTCACCCCAAACCCAGCCTTTCTCCACCTGCCAGTTCACCCCACTTGCCTCTGTCTTCCTCGAAAGGCCAGAAAATTTAAAAATCTCTTGATGCGAAGCTCAGAACTGAGGACAGACATTGGGGTGCTCTGGGGTGTGGGGTGCAGCCTGCCTGGATTCCTGTGTCCGTGGGCTTTGGGCTTTCCCAGCCCCATCCGTGCCCAGCATCTGTTCCTACAAGGGCCCAGGGCTGGGAGGCACCCGGGTACTTCTCGGAGTCAGGGGACCTGGAGGAGACGGGGTCCGAGCCCCGTCCCAAACCTGGCGCGTACCCCTGGGTGTGGCTTGAACCCTCCCGCCCCATGTGTCCTGGACAGCCACTCCCTCGGCCCTGCTGTCCACCCGCCCCACTGGTAAAGCCGTGGGGAGCCCTGAGGCAGCTGTGGACAGTGATCGGGGAGCAAGTGGTCAGGATACGGATGGAAGGAGCACCCTAGCACCCCCCACACCCAGGGGCTGGCCTGACTGCTGCAGGCTGGGGACCCTGGCCCGCTAAGGAATCAGGGCACACTGGGCGGGGAGACTGGACCATTCTCTTCCATATCAGGGTTTGGGGGAGCAGCTTGTGTTCTCCACGATGCCGGCAGCACAGGAGGAAAATAATGAGGGGCGGCCTCCTGCACCCCTCCTTCTAGGGAGGCTGCTTCCTGGCACCCAAGCCTCAGTTTCCCCCTGTGTGGGCTGAGGGGCTGGAGGAACGAATTTCATTCTCGCGGGCCCACAGGTCACTCCCGTGAAGAGTGTGGCCCCAACTGTCCCTGCCTGTGCTGGGTCCAGGCTGTTCCCAATTGAGGCAGGATAAGTTTCTTTGTCTCTCCTCTGAACTTGCACAATTTGACTTTTCTGCCTCCTCAGAGCCTCCTGTCTTTGGAGGTGGGTCCTGGATGGGGCAGGGGCTCGGGGTGGGGCTGGAACATGCCTGGTGTCCAAGCAGAGGCTGAGGGAGTGAGCGGTGACTGGGTGCCCACTCTGGATCTCTGTTTGTGCTCCCTGAGTACAGAGCCAGGATGCTATGGGGTGGGCTTTCCCAGTGGGGGGCACCTCAGGGCCCAGCAGGGATTCCTAGTACCTCAGCAGGGACCCAGTCCAGCCTCAGGGAGCGGTGTGGCAGCCCTCAGAGCCGGTGACTCACTGTTGCCTCTGACATACTTGGCAGCCCTCATTACAGCTGCAGGGAGCTCGCCTTGGATGCTGTGAACCAGAGTAGGGGTGGTCAGGCCATTGGCTTGAGGCCACAAGGCTCGGATGGGTACCACAGGTACGAGCGTCCAGGCTGGTGCCTCACCCCAGGGATTCTACAGCCTCTGAGTTCAGCACTGGACATTGTCGGGGTCACAGACTGGGGGAGGAGGTGAGCCCAGGGCCACCAGCTTCTTGGCTGGACCTCGGTGAGTGCTCGGATGCAGCTGGGGCTCCCTCTCAGGTGGACCTAGCGGGCACCCGCCCCTCCTCTCAGTGCCCAGTGATCCCTGGTTGGTCAGGACCCCAAACACATGACCCAGGTCTCCACAAGCCTCACAGCCAAGGAGTGGAATTTGGGGAGGGGGGCTAAGTCACTCTCAGGACCCGTCCTGCTGCCAGCCCCCATGCTGTGCTCCCCCGGGGAGGCGGTGGAGCTCCTAGGGTGCCTGACTTCAGTTTCAAACCGAGACAGTGCCCAGTGCATGAGGACAAGCCAGTCACCCCACTGCCCTGGCCCGGGGCTGCTGGAAGGACGCGCTGCTGGGTCAGAGTTCGCCAGCAGCTGAGGAGTGACCCCCCACCCCACCCCAGCAGCTCAGCTCGGTCCTCAGGTGCACAGGTGGGGGGGGGGACGCTGAGCTGCCCTGCAGGGAGTGTGACCACGTGGCATGCCAGCCTCCAGGGGAGCAGAGCCTGGGTGCCTCTCCTGCGGGCACCCAGGCTCACCAGCTGCCCACCTAAGGCTGGTGGTCCTCAAATGCTGGACTTGCCCTTTTCAAAGGGGGAGGTGCCCCACCTTCCCTTAGGCTGAATCCTGTACTCGGAGCCACTGGGTGTCACAGTGTCCTGGGACACGTGGCCATGTTCCCCTCCCCAACTGACCCGGGAGCCCAGCCTGACCCCTGCTCCGGGGTCCTCTGGAAAGCAGGAGACCTACGGTCTGAGCAGGCAGGTGCCGGGAGGAGCTCCCATCCGTTTCTCTAGCCACTCAGCCCGTCCTGGGTAGATTCAGGTAGATCCCAGACGTCCCGACTCATGTGATTAGCAATCGGACCCAATGAGTACAGGTCATGCTGTCAGCCACAGATCGCGTGTGTGAGCTGCTCTGAAGCCCATGTGTGTTGAGTCGAACTCCAAACTCCTGGGAAGCCCAGGAGGAAACGCCGCTGGGATTCCAGCCTCGCCCAGTCGAGGGGAGCTGCCCCCTGGTGCATGCAAAGTTCCCAGGGAGTCCTGAAGTCGCGTCCATGGGAGACAGAGAGGCGGCCCCTGCCCTCCCATGGTCCCGTTTGTGCCCAACCACCTCTGCCCTTGGCTTCCTGGGCTGCTCTGTACACAGTGCTCTGTTAGGAATTGAGGCTTCTCTCACTTGAGAGCAGCAGGGATGCTGACCTGTGAGGGACATGCTGACTGCTGCTTCCGACTCGGCCCTCAAAGCTGTGTCCCCTGACCCCCTCAGAGCCTGGCCCGCCACTAGCTTCCCAGCGTGCAGGGCCGGGGTCGGCAGGAACCCTGTTGCTCACAGGGTGATGTCGGAATGTGGTAGCTGGAGGGACAGTAGAGTGGGCAGGGCACTGGCCTCGCATGCAGCTGACCCACCCGGTTCTATTCCCGGCGCCACAGATGGTCCCCTGAGCCCCACCAGGAGTGAGCCCTGAGCATGGCCAGGTGTGGCCCCCAAACTAGACAAAAGATTGTGGTGCCCCGGCTCGGCAGAGGTGGGGGTTGGGAGGAGAGGGGTGAGGCGTGGAGGGTCCTCTGGACACGCAATGCCCAGCTGCCCTGTGAATCACCAGGAACAAGAATGTGGATTGAAATCCTGCTTCCATCCACCCGCTGAGCCAGTTCTGTGATTCACGGAGCTCCTGGGCCTTATAAAATAGGGCAGGGAGATCCCAGCCGGCAGGGAAAATGCTTGTTTGCTTGTTTGTTTGGAGGCCACTCAGAGATGCTCAGGGCTTCCTCCTGGCTCTGTGCTCAGAGATCACTCCTGGTGGGCTCAGAGGGGCCCGAGGCATGCGGGGGAACAAAGCCGTGTGCATGGCAAACGCCTCACCCACTGCTCGATTTTTCTACCCCTGTTTGGTTTTGATTTTTAAAGGAATGAATGGAGTTAGACTGAGCAGCACTTCAGAGCTACTCCCAGCTCTGTGCTGGGGGCAGAGGGAGCATGAGCGGTGCCTGGGATCAAACTCAGGGCCTCCTGCATGATCTCAGCCCCTTACGCTCTCTGAGAGTCAGTATCAGGCCCAAGTTTATGTGCGTCTACAAAGGCAGTTCCTTCACCCGCTCTGTGCCTTAAAGAGCAGCATCATCTACACGGGCAGTTCCTTCACCTGCTCTGTGCTTTAAAGATCAGCATCATCTATACAGGCAGTTTCCTTACCTGCTCTGTGCCTTAAAGAGCAGCATCATCTACACGGGCAGTTCCTTCACCCGCTGTGTGCCTTAAAGAGCAGCATCATCTACATAGGCAGTTCCTTCACCCACTTTGTGCATTAAAGAGCAGCATCATCTACACAGGCAGTTCCTTCACCCATTCTGTGCCTTCAAGAGCAGCATCATCTATATAGGCAGTTCCCTCACCTGCTCTGTGCATTAAAGAGCAGCATCATCTACATAGGCAGTTCCTTCACATGCTCTGTGCCTTAAGGGGCAGCATCATCCGCTCGACTCTGGGTGTCCGACTCTTCGTTCCATGCAGTGGCTCTTAGTGGGGGTTCATCCCTACCCATGTGTTCCAGGAGGGGGCCTGGAGGTTTAGTGCTATCACCCAGGGGCCCAGGGGTGCCCTGCCCCCTCCAGCTGGGCCCTGGCCCCCGCTGACCATCTCCCTCTCTCCCAGCGTGCGGGAACGCTGTCTGGAGGAGCAGCGGAGGAGGAGGCAGCGCGCCACCAAGAAGATCAGCACCTTCATCGGCACCTTCCTGCTGTGCTTCGCGCCCTACGTCATCACCAGGTGAGCCCGCCGGGCCAGTGCGCAGGGCTGGAGCAGGGCAGGCCTGCGGCCCAGGGGCGTCCCTGCGGTTCCCTCCAGCACCCACTGCATCAGTCCGGGCCACTTGGCCCCTGTTGTCCCCACCCAGCCCTATGGGAGATGCAGTACCCACCTCGGGACGCATCCAAGCTCTTCCGGTGCAGAGCTGGGAACTGCAGTGCCTGGCGCCAGGGTGGAGGGGAGCCCCTGCCCGGGACTGGGTGGAGGGAGGGCCACCACTGCCCAGGGGCTGGGTGGAGGGAGGGTTACCCGGGAACTGGGTGGAGGGACGCCCATGCCTGGGGCCTCAGGGTGGGGCACACTGCTTCCTCAGCTCGTCCCCAGCAACTGTGTGATTTAGGAGGGAGTAAGGAGAAAGGGGGACTTTGGAGTACCAAGGAGGTAATTCAAAGGGCTGGCACAGTGGGCACCCCAGGTTCGGACCCAGCATACTCCAAAATATGGGGTTTCGGTGTTCTGTTTGGGGGTGCATGTGTGTTGAGTCGTGTAAGTGAAGGCAAGAATGAAAGAGAAAGAGAGAATATAGTTGATGGGGTAGGTAGGTGGGGTGCATGTGAGAGAATTCATGTACATAGATCGTATATGGTGCGTGTGAGTGGGTGTGTACGGTGCATGATACATGTACATGTCTATGTGTGGGTCTGTGACACTATGTGTGGTATGCATTTGGACGAAAGTGTCTGTGGTCTGTGTATGTGTATGTGTAGATGTATTGTGTATGGTGTTATGAGCAAGTGTGCATATTTGAGTGTGTGCATGGTATATTTGTGAGTGTATAGTGTGTATACACTGCACACAGACACAGGCATGCATGCATGCATGCATACACCACACACTCACTCAGACACATAGGTACCACACACATACACACCACCCACATTGACCTCCCTCTGTGTGCATAGAACAGATACCCGCACATGTATATACCACGCATGTGTGTTTGTAAGTGTGGGGTGTGTATGTCCATGCATGCAGATGGTGTGTGTGGGTGTGGGTATGTATGTCTGGGTGCCTGTGTGGTTGCAGATCTATGTGCGTCTGTGTGTCTGTCTGTGTGGTGGTTTGTGTTTGGTACGCTTGCGTGTTTATGTAGATATGTGCCTGTGTGAGTATGCGTACGCATCGTATGTGTATGCATGCGTGGTGTATACATTGGGTATCTGTTCTATGCACATAGAGGAATGTCAATGTGGGTGGTGTGTGTGTGTGTGGTACCTATGTGTCTGAGTGAGTGTGTGCTATATGCATGCCTGTGTCTGTGTGCAGGCATGTATGGTGTGTATATGTGTGTGTCTGTGTGAGTGTGCAATCATGTGCATTCATGGTATGTGTAGGTGGTGTGTAGGTATGTGGTACACGTGAGTGGGTCTGTGAGCCTGAACGAGTGTGCGAGTCCCTGGCATGGATGGCACCTGGCTGTCCCTGATGCCATGTCTGCGCGGCTGCCAGGTTCCATGGCACCTGGTTCTGGCCACAGCACCACCCACACTCTGCACGCCAGGCCTGGTCCCTTCAGCCCCGTGTGCCCTGCAGGGCAGCTGGGGCATCCACACAGCCCTGCCCTGGCATGCCGCTACCTCGGGGAGCTGAGCACTGTGGGGATGTGAGCCCCAGGGCTGCCCCCCCACCCCGTGCCAGGTGGATCTGGCCTGGGCAGAGCAGGGCTGCCCTTCTTCCTTCTAGAATTTTCCGCTAGATATCTCGGCACTTGGGACATCGGTTGGGCATTCTTTATGGGGGTCTGTCCTGTGCCTACTCAGAGCTGTGCCGTCAGCCTGGCTCTGTGCAGGGGCACTCCGACCCAGCCCAACTTCACGGGGACCTGCTTGTTATCTGCTCACTGACGTGTTGCTGTCCCCTCGGCTCTGGGCACGGGGGCCGGGGGCCCTGCAGGACATCCCCCTCTCCCGGCGGCTCCACATGGCTAGGCTGGCCCGGTCAGGGTGAGATGTGCCGAGGAGGAGCCCCGGGGTGGGGGCTACATGGACTGTGCGACCTGAGGGTGGCGAGAACTTGAGCCCCCCAAGGAGAATAGTAATGCGCTCCGACTCGGAACTATTGGATTTTTCTCCGGCTTAATCTCATTTCCCAGCAACACGGTCCCTTTTTTTTCCCCTCCCTGATAGCTCCTCTCGCTCTAATGGAGCCCAGAAAATAACGTTTCCGTCAAATTGATGCGAGACTCACCTCTCATCTCTCATCGTGTCCACTCCAAATGGATTTGGTGCATTTGGAGTTTTCAAAAACACTCAGAGAACACTTGCTCCTCTTACACGGGGACGAGTGACAGCTCACTCCAGAGAAAAACTGCATCCAGGAAACCTCTTAACTAAGCATCCGGGTTCTGGTGGGCCCCAGCCCAGCAGCCCCTCCAGGCGCCCGGCAGCCCTGTCTTATTGGGGAAGAGCCATCGGAATCGGATCTCAGGGCAGAGCAAACACGTGCTCCTCTCCTGCTGCCTACGTGTCTCTTAAAGATTTCTTTAGGATTGGGGCTGGAGTGATAGCACAGCAGGGAGGGTGTTTGCCTTGCACACGGCCAACCCGGGTTCGATCCCCGGCATCCCATAGGGTCCCCAGAGCACTGCCAGGAGTGATTCCTGAGTACAGAACCAGGAGTGACCCCTGTGCATCGCCAGGTGTAACCTAAAAAGAAAAGAAAAAAAAAGATTCCTTTGGGATTTTTAGACCACATCTGGTGTTGCTTAGTCTCTGTTCCCTGCAGAGACTTGGGAAACCTCTGGGGATTGGACTCTGGCTGGCGGCATGCAAGAAGACAAGCGCCTTCCCGCTGTTGTCTGGCTCGGGGCCCCGTGGCTCACATTCTCCAGCGTCTTCTCTCTGTAGCCCGGAAGGCTGAGAGGAGGCCTGCCCTGCCCTGTGGGTCTCCCAGTGGATCTCCCACTCCAGACTCAGTGGCCCTGGAGTGGCCCGTCCCCTGGTGGAGTCACAGTTCATGTGATAGACAGAGAAGGAACTCGGACTCTGAGGCAGGAGGAACTCATGCAGAGCCCAGGTCTTAAGGCGGGACTGGGGTTGGAGTGATAGCACAGTGGGTAGGGCGTTTGCCTTGCACGCGGCCGACCCGGGTTCAATTCCCAGCATCCCATAGGGTCCCCCGAGCACCGCCAGGAGTAATTCCTGAGTGCAGAGCCAGGAGGAACCCCTGAGCATCGCTGGGTGTGACCCAAAAAGAAAAAAATAAAGACGAGACTGGCCTTATAGACAGTGGACAATCCGCCAGAAAGAACCCAGGATTCGAGTATAGAGCCCTGAGACCCCAGGCATGGGTTTCTTCGGGGCTCTTGACCTGGCTGGATAGAGCGGCCATCGGTGCAAAATACAGCAACAGGACATGATATGGACTAAAATGATTATGTCTATGATTAACAATTTTATCTTCGTTTCCTAGTGAAACAGAGTTGAAGGGCGTTTCACCTGTTTGTTTTCGCGGCAGGGGAACTTGTTTCATTTATTTTGGGGTTTGTGGGTTTTTTTTCGAGGCCATCCCCCGAGTGCTCAGGGCTTACTCCTGGCTCTACAATCAGGGATCTCCCCTAATGGGGCTCGGGGAACCCTATGTGGTGCTGGGAATCGAACCCAGGTTGACAAAGTGCCCTCCTCGCTGTGCTATCTCTTTCCCCGTGGCTGGGAAATGTGTCTCTAACCCGAGGTCATTCTCTTTCCGTTGGATGGTGCCAATCTGTCTCCAGGACAGTTTTGGGGGAGAGTGTTCACGCCCTGACCCCATGTTCCCTTCTTCCCTTGGCCTGCAGCTACTCACATCCCCTTCACTGTCCGGGAACCCGGGGACCCAGCTCCTGCCCTGCTCAGAGTGTATGCCCCTCGAACCCCGGCCCAGTCTGAGTCCTGTTTAAGGGTGTCATCAGGAAGAGTCCAAGGTCAAGTCCAGGTGGAGTTGGGGGGACCTGGTGGGGCCTCCGGAACAGGAAACGGCAGCCAGGTAGTTGGTACAGGGAACCGCTCCTGATCGGTCTTCCCCGCTATTGTCTTGGGGCCACCCTGTGAGAGTACCAGAGCATTCTGGGGTGTTTAGGGAAACAGAGGACCCCCGTACACACCTCAAGGAGAACTCATTGGATCCCCCTGGCTCCCCGTGTGTGCGGGTCATGACCAGGATCATGGGCAGCTCCATTTTGAGGTCACTGCCAGGACATGAGAACCCCCAGGCTCAGGGCACGGGACCTGCTAGGGCTGTTTGCTGGGACATTCGTGTGCACTGCCTTGATTTGCGGGGCACATTGGTGAGAATTTACCAAAACCCCATACACACCAGGCATCCAGCACCGCTTACTGTGGGGTCTCTCAGCCTGGAGTTTGGGGCCACTGGTGCTCCCGGGGTGGTTCTGCTGTCCCCTGCATCATCCAAGGGGAGATGTGGCCACCCCCCTTCAGAAGACAGACTGCTCTGAAAGGCAGGAAGTGATCCCCACTGGAGAAAGCAGGGCTGCAGACTGGGGGGCCAGGGGTTAGGGAGGGTCCCTGAGAGCACACACACACACACACACACACACACACAATGAAACTGAGGACTGGGTTGGAGGGACAGATGAGTCATTTCCCTGAGCAGTGCATCGCGTGGGTGGTGAAGCTGCCGCCAGCCTCAGTGAGCTCTCGACCAGGTCTCCAAGCTTTTGAAAAGAGCTGATGAGTCTTCCAGGCCCCTCCCCCAGCCCCTGTTTCTGCGCCAGAACACAGAGCTCCCATCCTGAACCTGCTCCCAGGATGCTCTCCCCCACCAGAAGGGACCACCGAGAGTCACCAGGGACTGTGCTGGGATGGCCAGGCACAGTCTCCAGGGAAACAGCAGCAGTGGGTGGATGGATGGATGGATGGATGGATGGACGGACGGATGGATGGGATGGATGGGTGGATGGACAGGCAGATGAATGGATGGATGGATGGATGGATGGGTGGATGGATATATGGATGGATGGATGG